ATCATTGGCTTTTATGGAAATCCAGCATCCTCTCCCCAGCTGTTTCCCGTGCACTGTGCTGGCTGCAGGGCTTGTTTTAACTTTCCGGGACTGAGCGGTCATTTTAATCACCACCAAGCTCTGAACAAAGAGCCACGTGTGCCTTTGGGGAAAAGCACCCAAAAAAGGCTCCTGGGAAGAGCTGGGAGGCGGCCGGGCAGGGCAGGCTCCGGGGTGTAACCCAGGAGCAGCACGGCCTCAGTCAGTGGCTGCCAACCCCATCCTGTTTGCTGTGTCTGGGTTGAGGGGGTGTTTTTGTGGGTTCCTTCTAAAAATAACCCCAGCACCTCCTGGGAGGGTGGTGGAAGGAAGCAGTAGCTGGAGCTGGATGAGGCACAAATTCACCTGCTCAAGCTGGACACAGGGAGAACTTGGATTTCTGATCTCTGGGTGAAAGGCTGGTTCTGGATTTTCTGGATTTTTTCAGGATTTTCTGTGCTCACAGAAATCCTTTCCTCTGGCTGGATGTGGGTAAGGATGTTCCAAACCTGCTGAAGATCCATCTGACAAGGAAACAGTCCCTTGTCCCCAGGACTTCCAACGGGAGAGGATCTGTGTGTGCACCTGACCCTGGAGCAACAGAGACCTGGGGGATCCACAGCTGGGCAGGGCCGTGCAGGAGGGCTCTGGAAACAGAGCTCAGATCCCCTCCCCTGCATCTGTGGGACAGCCCCTCCCCAGGATCTGTAGAACATTCTCTCCCCTGGATCTGTGGGACATCCCTTCCCCGGGATCACAGCACAACTCAGGGCTCAGATCACTAGCAATTAATCCAAAGCCAGTGCCTGCAATAAGGGGAGAGCAAAACACCTGGGCAGGCTCCTGGCACAGAGCAGGAGATGCACAAATCCCAGAAGGCAAAAGTCTCCAGGGATCCCTCTTAGCCTGACCCAGGGAAAATGATTCTGGGACCTTAAAGCTCATGATCACCACAACCCCGAGAGCAGGACACTCGGTGCTTGGGGTGTCCACAGAGCTGTGGCTGCCCCTGGGTCCCTGGCAGTGCCCAAGGCCGGGTTGGACAGGGCTGGGAGCACCTGGGACAGTGGGAGGTGTCCCTGCCGTGCAGGGTGGGGCTGGATGAGCCAGTCTCACCTGGGGTTAAAGGTGGCTGAGGACACGTCGCTGCTCCCGGCCACGCCGAGGTCACCTTGCTGCTCTGCAGAGGGCAGGGAAGGGTGGCGGTGCTGCCTTTGTGTCCCCAGCTCTGGCATCCCAGTGTCGGCTCCGCTGCTGCCGGGGAAGCCACGAGGAGCCCTGGAACAAAAAGCAGCCCCGGGGCCATCCCGTCCATTAGGGACGGCAGCCAGAGCTCCCTGATCGCAGCCAGATGTCAGAGATAACATCTCCGCTCGTTCTTGCGGTTTCCTTGATGGCAAAGCACTACTGTGCTCTCACCCTGCTTGGCCACGGCATCTGAGCATCCTGATGGAGAAAAATACGGAAAATACAAATTAAAAATACATAAAAATACGGAATTCTGAGGGTTGGTTTGGGGCTGGGCTGGCCCAGGGCTCCCAGCCCGAAGAAGCTCCCGGGGATGCTGAGGGGGAGGAAGGAGGGTGCTCTGTGCCCTTGGAGGTGTTTTATTCCCTTGGAAGGGACAGGGTGACAGCTCCAGCCTCTCCCCCCCACTCTGTCCCGTTTCAGTCACTGTCACCCCGCTGTGTCCTCAGACCAGATCTCTCCTCAGCATGGGGGAAAACTTTGAACCATCTCCACCTGGCAGAAAGATGCTGAAAGTGTTTCCTTTTTTAGAGCTATTGAGGCATAGAAAAGTCTTCGGGCTTTGAATAAAAACTCAGCTTCTCACCCTTGAAACAGGTATTGAGGCATAGAAAAGCATTCAGGCTCTGCATAAAACTTCAGCTTCTCACCCTCTAAATCACTTTAAAACGGGACCTCAGGCATTTGAGTGTCAGCTCCTGATTGCTCCATACAAACCTGGGCTCCCAAGTCACAGAATTTTGGGAAGCTACAGCAATCCCTGAACAGGGGTAATTAAATCTGTGAGGGCCTTTCAGGACATTCACTTGCTTTAAGGCAATTTTGCTGTGGATTTCCCCCCTTGGCTCCTGCGCACAGGCCCTGGGCCTGCCCAGCCCCTGCCGGGCCTCACAGGGATCACCCTGGCCTGGAACATTCCAGCGATGGGGCAGCCCCGGCTCCTCTGGGACCGCTGGACGAGCCCAGGCCATGGTGAGGGACCCCCCTTCACTCCCCTTTGGGGTCACTCGGGGCTGTCCCCGGAGCTGTCCCTGTCCCTGCTCACTTCCAGGGGATCTCCCACAGCTGGTGCCCGGTGCCACCCCTGGAGGCCTTGATCCATCCCCGGCTCCCAGCAGCTGGAATTGGGGTGTCCAGCCGAGGCCGTGCCCCGGGGATGGGGCAGCTCTGTCCCCATGGCCCAGGGCAGGGCATTTGTCCCCTGCTCACCTCGGTGGCCCTCGATGTGCGCAGCCCCGGCAGAGCCGGGAGGCTCCGCTGGGCTCGGCAACACTTCCACCTACAGAGGGATCCCAGAACGGCACCCGGGAGTGAGGGGGGAACACCGGGAGTGAGGGGGATCCCGGGAATGAGGGGGGATCCCGGGAGTGAGGGGGATCCCGGGAGTGAGGGGGATCCCGGGAATGAAGGGGGACACCGGGAGTGAGGGGGATCCCGGGAATGAGGGGGGATCCCGGGAGTGAGGGGGATCCCGGGAATGAGGGGGGATCCCGGGAGTGAGGGGGATCCCGGGAGTGAGGGGGATCCCGGGAGTGAAGGGGGACACCGGGAGTGAGGGGGATCCCGGGAATGAGGGGGGACACCGGGAGTGAGGGGGATCCCGGGAATGAGGGGGGATCCCGGGAGTGAGGGGGGACACCGGGAATGAGGGGGATCCCGGGAATGAGGGGGGATCCCGGGAATGAGGGGGGACACCGGGAGTGAGGGGGATCCCAGGAATGAGGGGGGATCCCGGGAGTGAGGGGGATCCCGGGAATGAAGGGGGACACCGGGAATGAGGGGGATCCCGGGAATGAGGGGGGATCCCGGGAATGAGGGGGGACACCGGGAGTGAGGGGGATCCCAGGAATGAGGGGGGATCCCGGGAGTGAGGGGGATCCCGGGAGTGAGGGGGGATCCCGGGAGTGAGGGGGATCCCGGGAGTGAGGGGGGATCCCGGGAGTGAGGGGGATCCCGGGAGTGAGGGGGGATCCCGGGAGTGAGGGGGGACACCGGGAATGAAGGGGGACACCGGGAGTGAGTGGGTCAAAAAAACTTGTCATAGCTACTGAGATAAGAGCAGAGCGTAACTCAGGTGACTCTGGAGATCAGCACAGGTGCTTGAAGTCCATCAGCCCTGCCAAATGATTCATTTCTGACTCAGCTCCATGAAAATTTCAAAATTCAGGGATACTTCACTTCCAAGTCTTAGGAGAGACAGGAGCTGCGGTGCAGGGACATTTCAGCTGCTGTGGGCATTCAGGGGTCCCTCAGGTCCCACAGCCCCTGGGCTCAGGGAAGGGAAGCTCTGAAGCACAGAGGGTGCTCAGTGCTCACACAAACCAGGGCTGAGCCCTCCACGGGTCACTCGAGCAAAAACCCCAAACCCCAGGCAGGCAGAGGTGCTGCTCCTCCAAACCCAGGGTTTCTCTCTGCCCTGGGCTATCTGAGCAGTTCCTTTTTCAGGGGAAAAAAGCTCCTTCAATTCCCATAGCAACCACCACATTTTCCTGAACACCACACACACAAACACAGTTGTTAGACTGAAAAACAGTGGTAACCAAGAAACAGACATTTTCTTTTCCTCCTCAAAAATACTCACTTTCTGCCTTTCCAGGCAGCTGCAGAGGGGGCCCAGCAGGACAGGGCAGGGATGAACCAAGCACGGAGCTCCTGCTCAGGTGTCCTCTCCTTTCTGAGGGCTGTGGACCACCTGCCCAGCAGAACCCAGCAGTGCCCCTGTGACAGGGACCACCAGCAGCACTGGGCTCTGCAGAGGAACATTCCAGCCTCAGCCACAGCTGGAATGGGAGAGGCACTTGGGGAGAGCTCAGGAGAGCAGGACAGCAAACACCTCTCACCTGCAGGCTCCAGGTTTGGTACTACCTGAGCAGCAGCTGAAGAATCAGATCCGACTCCTCCTCTCCCCCTGCAGCTCTCCTGTCCCACAGCAGGCATGGCTCCAGGCAGGTCCCAGCAGCTCCTGCTCTTAGACAGGGGACAGCAGCAGCCCAGCCCTGCCTCACTTCAGACAAGTCCATGACCATTTATTCCAACTGCTGCGTGGCTCCCCAGCTGCAGCCCCAGGAGGATACAAACATCCAAAGCTCTCCCAGTTTTCTCCTCCCAACAGCAGCACACCCACACCCCTGAGTCCCACTCAGGCACAGAGGTCACAGTGGTGGTGTGTAAGAAAACCAAGTTTAGTTTCCACACATTTGGCATCCAACAGGCAGTAAAAAAAAAAAAAGCTTTATATTTTATTTTTTGTAAAAATCTTTGAACACATGCAGACTAAAACCAGTGTAAGAAAGTCTCCACCATGTTTAAACAAATAACTATACTTAAATATAAGCGTCTGCAATTGACTGGTATAAAAATAATGTACGTTTTGCTCTTTTACAGAAATCCTTTCTCCAGTTCTCAGCTCAATAAACAATACACAACTCTAATACATACAGTGAACCTGATCGTTTGCCACCTCTGGGATACTGCTAAGGTATTATGTGCAAAAGTTGGTAACAGTTTCTTTCCCACGAGAAAAAAAAATCTTCTACACCTTTTAGGAAACCAGGTGGGGTTGAAGCTGCTGCAGCCCCGGCGGTGCCCTGCAGTCCGTGGGCTTGGCGCTGGAGCTGGCCCAGCCCCGCGGTCCCAGGCTCAGCGGCGGTGCCGGTGCTGGCCCGGCCCTGCAGTCCCAGGACTTGGTGCCAGTGCTGGCCCAGCCCCGCGGTGCCAGGGCCCAGCCCCGCGGTGCCAGGCTCAGCGGCGGTGCCGGCCGTGGCCCGAGCGGCCGCTGCTGTGGTGCTTGCCGCCCTTGTGGGAGCGCTCGAAGGAGCGCGAGCGCTCGCGCCGCTCCCGGTGGTGGCCGCGCTCGTGCCGGTGCTTCTTGGCCGCCTCCGAGTGCTCCCGGGACTTGCTCTGCGAGCGGGAGCGGGACTTTTTCCGCTTGTGGCCGTGCCTGCTGCTGCCCTTGAGCTCCTCGCGGCCGTGCTTGGCCTTGGCGTGGGGCGAGCCGTGGTTGTGGTGCCGCCGGGGGCTCCCGCTGTGGCTGCGCGAGCGGCTGCGCGAGCGGGAGCTGTAGGTGCCCGACAGGCTCCTCCTGTTGTTGTAGCTGCAGGAGAGGCAACAGTTACAGCTTACAGCGTGTCCCCACAGCGGGAAAGCACACAGGCATCAGCGCTTACAGCTCCCAAGGTACTGGCAAGGAATTGGCCTTTGTCCCTCAGCGGTAAGTGAGGGAGGACAGGGAATGTCTCAGAACCTGCCCCATGGAAGGCTGGGGTCAGTCATATGGGATTTAAAGTCCTTCCAACCCCAACCACTCTTGTGAGTCTTTTAGTTGAGCTCATTTGAAAATAAACAGCTCACACTAAAACCAGAGTGCAGCATCTTTTGTTCACCTTGTCTCAAGGGTCTTCTGTCAACACCAGATCACTGACTGGGAGTTGTTTTTTTCCTTCAGTGACTACACTGAGATCTAAGTTGGCCGCCTCCAATGTGAGCCTGCAGGTTCTTAGGAAATCCCTATTTAAAGCCAGCAGCTCTCACTGCATCCCTCTCTTCCTGTACCACGAGAGGGGCAGAGCCCTGAAGAGCCAGGCACTGCACCAGGGAGCACTGACATAAGGAGGCTGCACACCTGGGGCACTTCTGTCCCCTTCCAAGGGCACTGTGCTCCCAGAGACTGCTCTCACTTGTAGAGGGATCCTCGTGAAGACTAACAAGGGAAGACTAGCAGCAGCCCAGCACCGACTCCCCAGGGACACTGCAGTTAGGACAGGCTAATTTTACAGCCTGAACTCTCAAGCGCAGCCCCACAGCCTGCCCTCCCTTTTGCTGGCCGGCACTCAGGAGCGCCCCTGAAGGCAGCAGCCCCCCCAGCCCAGCCCAGCCCCACTCACTGCCTGCGGGGGCTGTGGGAGCGCGAGCGGGACTTGGTCCGGGAGCGGGAGCGGCTGGCGCTGCGGCTGCTGCGGCTCCTCTTGCTCTCCTTCCTCAGCCTGCAGGGCACAAACCAAACTGCTCAGCACTCACACGCCACAGGGCTCGGCAGCAGCTCCCTGCACTGCATTTCTACTCAAGCCTTCTCTCAGCAGGAGAGTTTTACCTACCCGTTGTAAGGGCTCTTGGAGGTTTGCTGCCTCTCTTCTGGCTCTTTCTTAACGGTTTTGGTATTCACAGACACTGGAGATTTCTCCTCAGCTTTTACTTCTCTGGGGGAAGCTAGGAATTAAATTTCAATTCAGAATCTGTTCTTTATTCATCCTTTGTCATAAACACACTATACATTGCTCAGGCACCTTCACCAGGACTAAGTGTAGATACCAACTCTACATTTATTATTTCATCCCATCTCTCCACTTGTATTCACTCCTGGAATGGGATATTTGTGAGGAAATCCTCTGCACATGAAGGAGGAACAGCACTGGCACCTTCAGGGCACACAGCCATGCTCACCTGGGGCCAACAGAACTTCTTACGTCGGCATTTATTTCCAATGCTGTAGAAGGGATTAAGCCTACCCAGCAAAATTAGATTTCATCTTTACAAATAATGGCACAAATATAAATGAGTAACAAATAAAATTATCCAGTTAATATGTCAGTCTGTCTCTACAGACAGTTGGGTACAGACCAGAGATGGATTCACCCTTCATGGAAAGGCTGTTAAGCCCACCAGAGCTCCTGCTTTTAAACTGTTCCACCCTCAGCTCCCTCCTTGCAGAAAACACTTCTCTTGTTCCGTCAGAAATTCACACTGCCCAGCCCAGAGACCTCTGAAAACTCAGGACTCTTCAGGAGAAACCCTGAGAGCTCAGACAGACTGGCCAGTTCAGCATACATGTTCCATTTAATTCCCTCTGATGCCAAGGCAGTGCTGAGCCTCTCCCTCCTCCATTTCCTGCCCACCAGCTGTCTGCCCTCACTGCACCAAACAGCTGCCAAGCACATTAAAAGCAATCAGGGGAAGGAATTTTCACAGATACCTGCTGCAAAAGGGGCCATGAAGGCTATTGCAGCATCCCCAGATTAAATGCAAAAAGCCTCTCTTCACATCACAGAACACACAGCAACTCCTGCTTCATTATTCTCTTAAGGGTGCACATTATTAATGTTAACACTCTCACATCTGAGGAAATGTGGACTAAAGCATCTCTTTTCTTTCTATCTGGTTTCAAGGTTTTGAGACTGGTTTTAAAATATATGTTAAAAAAAAAAAAACCAAACAAACAAAAAAAGGTTTTCTGTTCAGAAAACAGACTTACATGGTTTGGATGCAGGAGAAAAGCCACCCAGTGTTGAGAGTGCTGGAGTTCCATCTGGATTTAAACCTTTTGCTTTCAGTTTTGCTTCCTGTAGTGCCATTTTCCTCTTTTCTACTTCTTTATCCAGAAATTCATAATTGGGCTGTGGAGTTAACAACCAGATAAGAAGCTGAACTAATGTAATTCCTATTTCATCTCATTTCTGAAAAATACGGAGTTGGCATTTAATGATCTGTCCAGTAATGTAACTTCCACAATTTGTTCTTTTCTTACTGGAGCCCTTCCCATTAGCACATCTGTGTTAGGCATTCCCAAACTTTTCCGGACAACCACAACTCAAGCTGAAGCTGCACTGAGCATCAAGCAGCAAACCCCAACATGTCAAACTCACCTTCTTTCTGGTATAAAGCTTCAGAGTTGTTAAGCAGATCTCTTGAATCTCCTCTTCCGTGGTGCCAAAGAGCAGGAACCAGTGGGGACGGGTAGGCAGCGGGATCTGCAAATCAAACAAGGAGAAGCTTAGTGGAGATTTCAGGTCAGGTTTTGCTGGAATATTTCCATGAATTTCCTTGTAAGCAGAGCAGCAGCAGGGGAAGGCAGAGCTCAGAGCAGGCAGGGCTCACCTGCAGGGCTCTAGCAGCCAGGTAAATGCACGCACACGCGATGGTCTCCGGCTGGAAGCGAACAAACACGTTCGTCCGGAGGCTGTCGTTCATGTAATTCCTGAAAAAACAAAGCAGCACGGGTTGGAACTCCATCTGCTTTTCTTTCAGAGGATAACAATACTGGAGACTCAATTGACTTTATTATTTTTTCTGTTGTTACATTGAACATGTGATTTCCTTCAGGTTGTGCTGGATGTTTACATGTGTCACTGTGACAGTCTGCAGCACCGCCACCGTTTTAAACCCCAAGGCAGTAATGTGTAGCAGGAAATCCAAGCAGTTTGGAATGGCCACTTCCTAGCTGAAGTTACCCTGGAAGTGTCCACTGAGTTACAATTCAACAAACACTTTGCATCTCTCCAGCTGATTGTCTTAAACACCAATGGGTTTGTATTTAAAGATCAATGTAGAACTCAAGAGCCATCAGGAGAGCAAGGTGCATTTTCAACCTACCATTATCCAGAGGCTATGTGCAACCTGCAGAGCTCATAAAACGCTGAGTACATTTAAATTTTGTGTGCTTTGAGCCACTTTAACTTCATCCAGGGACATGCATCCCGTTTGCTCTCAGAGTGTTGGAAAAGATGTGTGAGTTAGAACTGGGGCCCGACCTCCAGAGCTGCTGCTGTTGCACAGGGCTGGCACAGCCAGTAACACCCACCCAGAGATGGGGTGAGCAGCAGAGCTCCATGGATTTCTCAATTCCCAACATGGGAGAGAGAACAGCAGTCAGTCAGTGAGGACTCTACACCCCCATGCCCAGCCGGGCTGCTAAGTGAACATGCTGCATGCACTGTCACCCTCTGCTTAATTCAAGTTTACATGTTAAACCAATGAAAGAAATGCTGGAAGAATTGTCCCCCACGTGTCCTTTAACATACAGCAGGTAGGCAACAAAGACATTGAGAAACAGTTGTAAGAGTTACTTCTAGAACCAAATATACAAATCCTGGCGCCAGGACAGAACTAGGAGGTGCTGCCCGATGGCTTTGGGTGACGGCAGTGAACTCGCTGAGGCTTGCACTGGCTTGGCTGGAGAGAAGGGCAGCCAAAGCAGCCATCCCCAGGTCATGGGCTGAGGTGCAGAGGGCAGAGCTCTATGACTTACCAGCAGGGACTACCCTTCAATCAAAGAGTAGAAAAAAGAACAAAGTTAAATTGAGTTCTCCATCGTTACGCTGGAATAAGGCCATGAAAATAGTAAGCAGAAACAAGCACCATGAGATTGTCCAAATGTGTTTGAGTGGTGACTTACATCTCATTGCTTTGCATAGGGATCAGCAGGCTTGTTATTTCTGCTACTATTTTCCTGGCTAGGAAAAGAATGGAAAATAGCAACTTACCAGGCTGTCTGTACCAGGGTTTGATTACGTTCACATTCTAGGACTTGTAAATACATAACAATGATCTGAGGAATAAGGAGGGGGAGAAAGAAAAAAGAGACTCAGTTTCAACACATAAAGCAGGAGTACATATATACATATGTCAAAATGCAATCAAACAGTATGCCCAAACAATGGGGACTCCTTCTCTCCAAGCACACACTCTAAGCTCTCATGTCAGCCCATCACATTCACACAATTCTTTATCTCACTCCTTTTCTGCTATTTTCAAACCAGCCACCTTTACCCTTTCCCAGGGAAGTGACTTTTTTCACAGTCAGTATGGCTGTTTGCCCAAGTACCCTGGCAAAAGCTTTAATAGCTATAAGGGAATAAAGAAAAGAATTCAGGTCATTCTGACACCTGTGTTTCTTGCTCCACAGCTCCCAGTGATGCCACCAAGGTAGAGTGAGAATTACAATTACATTATTATTGAGAACTCACCTTATGAGGATGCTTGACATGAACACAAAATCCCAACTCCTTCAGTACCCTCCTTTCTGCTTTGATTACTTGATTTTTGGTGTTTATGTAGTTCTGATCAAGTATCAGTGGGCTTGGAGTCCTATAGTTTGCAAGAAATAAAATCAAAACTGTTTTGCATATCCAAAAATAACGGCAACTCTGTTTTCCCTTCCAACCAACTAATGGCAACAGAAACCGGTTTTCAACTCCTGCAAGCAAGTTTAAGCATTAATCTTGTGCTGTCCAAGTTTAGATAAACTAGTTTAGTTGCTGCTTTTGGCTAGCTACAGATTAGATGGCTGAGATAAAAAAAATAACCTTCTGCTCCTGTGTATGCAAACTGCACTGCTCCAGCTGCTGAAGGAGTTGGCTTGATGGGGGCACTCCCAAGAACTTTTCCTCTCCGCGCCAGAGGTGGCAGAAGGAGTCCTGTGCCAGGCAGGGTTTCAAAGCAGAATAAGCCACACCAGGGCTCTCACTGGCACTAAAGTAGCAACTCGTGCTCTAGAAACTGCAGCTTCCTATGCACTGAAGAGCAGCTGATTGACCCTTCAGAAGCCAGCCCTGCCCTGTGATGTGTGAAAAGCTGAGTGAAGCACAGGATTAACCTGGGACACGGATCTGCCTGGGACTCTGGGTACCAGGGATGATCCTGCTCCTGTCTGCATGTGCAAAACAACAGCTCACTTCAGAGACATATCTCAAACTCCAGCACTGTCAATCCTAATTCCTCCCAAATCCAAACCCTGAACTGTCCAGAGCATGTTTAATCACAAAAACCTTCTGTACTTGATGCACAAGTGTCACACTCCATTGCATATTTGCTTTGTCCGTGCTTAGACTTGACCTTTCAACATTCCACACGGGATATTTTAATCCACTTCCTCCTGAAGACAGATCAGCTTTTTCCCTGTAATATGCCTCACACATTCCATGTGCTTTCCAAAGCAGAATAATGTTTTTGCAGCTCATTATGCTCTAATAAACCACGGTCTGTGTACACGATACACCCCAAGCACTGGTCATAAATTTATTTTACATTACCTTCAAAAGAAAAAAAAAGTAATGCAAAGTGGATTCAAAACACAGCTTTTGTTGTATTAGACAAAATATTTCACTGCCAACTTACAAACTATATGAGTGGATCTTGGATCTCACTTCTCTTCCCTGACAGGTCACAGAACAGAAAAAAAGACTCAAAAAACCAAGGTTCCCACCCCAGGAAGGGTTAATTAATGACAAGGGTGGAATAATCCAGTTTATGCCATGACCTCTGCAGTCACCTGGACAGGCCCCAAAACCTTCTCTAATTGAAAGCATCTTGTACCACCATGCACCTGAAGCATGAGCTGTCCCTGCTCTTCCCAAGGGGCTGACATGCAGCTGCCAGCTCTGCAATGAACAACTGCCCTTCCTGGTGCCAGGCTGGACCTGCAAGTCAAGTACTCTCATTATTTAAAGGTTTTCCAGGTTACAGTGGAGTAACTTCTCCAGTTAAGTGTTACTCTCACTCATCAGGGCAAGTTTACAAAGTTTTTCATTTCAGCTCCTCTAAATAAACCCAAAATCGGGAGATGTTTTCTTTTGTTTATGGCTGTCCTTTTCTCCCCATAAATTAACTGAAAATGAAAAGTTTTTCAAGCTCTTTAGGAAGTAGTTATACTTCAGTGAGGAGCTGCTTTTGTCCAACACTTCAGCACTACAGAGACAGGCTGAACAGTGCTCTGGAGTGGGACAGTGGAACAACCAAGCTGAGCTCTTCCCATCAGTGAAGCTGATTCACTTCCAACTCATTCCCACCAATTTTACTGGTGTTGATAACCTTTCCTTCAGTACTGCTCTCCACAATTTCATCTCCAGATCACTGGCATTAACAGGATCTGCAGAGCAGCACGAACAGGAGGAGTTCAGGCTGCTTGTCAGCAGAAAGCTCCATCACAGGTGGGAGATCTTGGGTTACACACTTAGGACAGCCATGACTTGCAATCTGTTAACAGTGTCCAGTGGGACTGCTCAGATCATCCAGCCCACCTTGCACATGTCCCTGCACTCCCTGGGAGCTCTGGCAGGAAGTTAAGGTGGCTCCAAGTGCAGCAGGACAGATGGGAGCCTGTACTGCATTTAAAGTTTCCACTGTCCTTGCACAGGGCCATGGGATCAGCACCAAGAGGTCACACTTGGCCCAGGCTCCACAACACAGGGACAGGAAACCCAGCATGCCAAGTGTGCTTTGCTTTACTCTGCTGTCCCACACTCCTTTGGTGACCAGTCCTACAGCCCTAAGGAAGCCATGAAAACTATCAGTTTACCCAGACGGGGCTTCCAGACAAATACAGCCTTTTATCCACTCATGGAAAAAAAGAAAAATCTACAGGAGATTTAAGTGTTTTGCTGCACCTTATAACTTGCACAGGTAAGGTTCTCCACTGCATTGATTTGCCAATTTAATACTTTTGCCATGAACTCTGCAATGTTGGTAAACAATTATTTTCAAGTGAGAAACTTCAGAAATTCCCCTTTGAGAAACTTCTTTGTTTTCTACTACAAAAAAAGAGGAACTTTGCCAGTGCATTTGCTGCACTTAATTCTCAGTCCAAGAACTATCTTTGGACCAAGTACCAAACCAGAAAAAAGGAATTTATAAGCTTATATATGAAATATAAGCTTCATACTCTGTATAGCCAAGGAGTGTTGCAAGTTCCTACTGGGAATCTGTTCCTACAGACCAGCACTAGAGCTCCAGGCAAGACTTCATCTTTAAGAAGAGAGCACACAGTGGTCCCTCTGGGAAGTCAATCCAACACTTAGATAAAAACTTGACTGCGATTTAGATTGTGTAACAACCCCGAAGATTAACACACACTGTAATGTGTTTGTAACAATAAATAAATTACAAATACCTTTTTAAAAAATAACTGACAAATGAGACCTAAGTTCTCCACAGAGCAGCAGCTTCATTAGGTGCAATATTGAACTTTGATGTCTTTGGCAAGACTAACACTGGGAGGAGCAGTGCCCTGCGTGGATTTTGTTCCTAACGAGCACAGCACTCGTGACAAGTGCAGCAGGGCACCAGCACCTCACTTCAGAGCAGAGATCTGTTATGCTGGTCAGTACAAGAACACCAGTTCTGTTTGTCTCCAGGATCACAACCACAAGCAGCACAGGTTTGCAGCAGTCTGAAGGCACTAGGGATGTGTGTCATTACTGCAGCCCCAGTGCAGGGCCCCTGAGTGAGGAACAGCTGACTGAGCACCTCAAAGCACCATCAGAGATTACAGCACCACACCAGTCACATTTCCAGTCTCAGGACCTTCTGCAGCTTTCAGGCACAGTTCAAAGAAATAAAATCAACTTCAAACTACATTCTACATTAAACAACAGTTGCACTTTGCTCAGAACAGAGAGGTTTTGGCACACAGTTATTTAAAAAGCAGTTTTTCCACAGTACGAGCTTTTCTCCATGCACACAAACATTTTTACATGCAGTTCTACATCACATATGCTCGTAAAGATCTCAAAGAAAATATGCTTGTCCAAAACACTTATTTAGCTTTTTCTTACTTCTCAGCATTAGAAATACCACCTCGGTTGACTACATGTCTCATAAAAAGAAAATTCCAATGCAATTCCCAGTTCTGCAAACAGGTACATAGAAGGGACTGCTTACATCAAAATTGATAAAAATATACAAATTCAAGACTTCCATACCCTTGTTTTACTGTGAATTCAAGCTGCAATTATACAGAGCCAGAAAGTGGAACTAAGAACCCAAAACTGGTTAAGAAAGAAAGCAAAGCCTACCCAAACTACCCCAAATTCGTGTGCAGGTTAAGAGCTTCAGTTAACAGAAATGCTAGACTAAAAAAGAAAGTACAGCAGCCTGTTTCAGTTCTGGGTTGTGTGTGAGAGACTAACTACAGCCTAAGTGTTAGCTTCAGTAAAAAATAATAAAAAAAAAAGTCAAGCTAGTATTCTAAAAACCTGGACAGCAAAGAAAAAAGCTTATAACAAGATACAGGAGTTCTTCCAAATGGTTCACCAGCGGCCAACCTGTTAGTCCCCCGATTCCAGTGACCTATGCTCAGAGCACTGGCTTCTCCTTGGGGATTTTCGATACTTCACTCACTGTTGCCATGACGACAGCTTCATCTTTATGTACCACTCCACATCACCCAGGCTTTGGTAAATGTAGCTGGTCGCTGTATAGTCGGTTGCAAGGGAAAAAAGAGTTGAAGTTAATAACGTGTACAGGTGATGGAACTGTCAGCTTGTAAAAAGTACAGAAAAACGTTTACATCCTGCTTGCTACAAAAAAAAAAAAAGGGTTGTGCAAGTCTGAATGTCAGACTGCAGCATTTTTAAGGTTAATTTCATGCAGATTCACTCAGAATCGCAGAGCAACAATACCCATTTCTCCCGAAAATAATGGGTAGCAGTGCACGATTTCTCTGGACATGATGCACTTTAGGCACCACGTAACATGCACAAGTTGGGATTTGCAACAGGCTAGCTGGAAAGATTTAAATTCACAGGTTAAGTTCAGTTTCTCTGATCCTTCACACAGCGCAAAGAAACAACTAATTTGTATTCTCGTTGCAAAGAAAAGCAAGGCATATGATTAATTAACCTTCACTGCCTGGACAGAGGCCAGAACGTTACTAATCACTGAGCCTGCTCCAGCAATTCCAATAACCAGCCTCCCTTAATAGCCGTGGAACACAATCCCACTGAATCCACACCTGGCTTAACTTCACACAGCTCTCTCAGGGCCATCGGGGAGAACAGCCTTAAAGGCCAGCCAGAACAAAGCCAAACTCCAAAGTGTAACACCAACTCTTCCTTTTTGGATCTGGAACTAACTAGGACAACACCATCAGGAGGCAGCAAAAGCCAAAGCTCCGGCTTCAACAGAAGCATAACCAGGATAAAGACACCAACAAACAGCTGGCTTCCCTTCCCTAAGGGATTTCTACTCTGCTTCTCAGAAAAGCTTGCACAACACGAGTTTAAATTCCTGCCGTCACCTGGTGACACAGAGCAGGGAAATGAAGTGTGAATTTAACACTGTAGCTGAAAGCAAAATCCTTTTGTAACTATAGAGTACCTGAAACTTTAAGCAATCAGGCACCAGAAACAAAGCCGAAGTCTCCGAACCCAGACTGTGAAACTGCGGCCCTACAGAATGAAAGAGACTTCGTGTTCAACAGCAACCTAGAGAACTCTTTCCCTTCAACGCATCGGTTCCATGCTTTACACATAAAAACCGCTGCTTTAAACACAAAGAGCAGCACTAAAACTCTGAAATGGGACGGCTCTACCCCACCTGCACAGGGCCAGGTGAGCCCCACTCCATCTGCACAAGCATACCAGAACAACGCCGCTCTCACCTTCTGCACTTAAAAATGCCTTCAGCCTCCCAAACTCAATTACAGGCTCCCCATCAAAACAGCTGCAAACACTGCAGGCCAAACCAGGCCTTTTCTCAGGTACTTTCTAAAATAGCTTTTTTTAAAAGGCATTGGCACCACTGAAAGTTGAGCTCCTTCTTAAGAGGTACTTTCTTAACATCACAACCACACTTGGACAGCAACAGATTAACTAGAAAAAATGCCATCAGGACTCCTAAGTATGGCTAAAAATCTGGAGAACACACAGCAACTCACTAACTGGCTACGCACACCTAAGACTATCTTACAGTAACTATGATACGCCAAAAAAAGCAACAAACAGACCTGGAACCACAACCATGGTCCTAAAACTAGAACCAATACTTGCCAATTGTAACTCGTAGCTACATCAACAACGACAAACGGGTCTACCAAGTGAACAAAAGCAGAAGCAGCCGAGATTGCACTGTACTGCCTACACAGCAGCCAACGGGCACTCCCTTCTCAATTTTAGGTCGTTGAACTTAGCCTGGAAAAATACTGTGAATTGAGAACTGCAGCGAACATTAGTGGTAACAGGTGCTTATGCTCATAACGAAGCTGATCTTACCTTTTTGCTCTTAACTGCCGCAAGTGATGGAACACGTTGATCACGTCCCTTATCCGACGAGGCGCTTCTTCGATTTTGGACGCGAGATTGATGCAGGCCATAGCAACAATCTGAAAAGAAGCCCCGTTTCCGTTAAGCAAACAATTTCCAACCCAGATAAAGTGAGAATTACGTAACTTATAAGCAAATCCGCCAGGCTCGAAGCGAGCGGCCTGCGTAGCGCGTGGCCGCCCCAGCCGCCCTCTCCCGGTGCCCCCGGGCCGCGCTCACCTCGAAGCTGTGCTTGACGAAGGACTTGGAGTAGAAGAACCGATGGAACAGCACCTGCCCCGTCGCCATGGCCACCTGTGAGGGCAGAGCAGGAGAAGGGAGAAGGAGCCCAGTCAGTGCCCTGGCCCAGCCGCCGCCATTTTGTGTGAGGCGCCGCCGCCCCCCCGCGCCGCCTCACGCCCTTCCCGCCGCCACAATGGCGGCGCCCGCCCTTCCCTTCCTTTCCTTTCCTTTCCTTCCCTCCCGGCCCCCCTGGAAGCCCCGGCAGGGCTCACCTGCGGCAGCCGCAGCAGGATGCCGGCCGCCTGGATGAGCTCGCAGCCCAGGATGCGCAGGTCGGTCTCGCACTGCAGGTCCAGCCCGTCCTGCATGGAAGGGGTAGGCGAGAGGCGCTCCTCGGGGATCAGCGAGTGGTCGATGGTCAGCGACACCTCGGAGTAGAGCCGGTCGCCGATGAGGATGCCCGGAGCGGCGGGAGGAGGCGGCGGGGCGGGGGCGGCGGGCGCGGCGGGGCCTGGATGCGCGGCGGCCATGGCGGCGGAGCGGGCGCTGGGTCCGAGTCCGCTCCCGGCAGCGGCCGCGCGCCGACTGCGCGGCCCCGCGCGTGACGCACGCGCCAGCGCCGCGCGCGCAGGGGGCGGCGGGAAAAAAGAGTCCGCGGGACACGCCCCGGGTGCGGGAACCGGGAATGGGACCCGGGAACGGGACAGGCACTGCAAATAGGGCACCGGGACAGGAACGGGAGCTGGTCAAAGCCGTGCAGAATAACGGAGGGAGCGGCAATGGGGCTGGATAACCACAGAATCACCTCAGGAGTTGCGGCTGGAAAGGCTCTCCCAGGGTCAATCCAGTCCAACCCCTGCCATGGGCGGAGACGTGGTATAGAATACACATAAAGTATAGAAATAGCGCATAGGTGGTTAACCAGGGCTCGGGATCTGGATCCAAGCTCTGCCTTAGAGGTTTTGGCGCTCAGAATATGTCACATAGGGAAAAAGATCCGTAAATTTCAATAAAAATAAGGTGATTGTGGGTTAGTATTGGCAAACAGTGGGCTGCGCCTTGCCAGACTGGAAACGTCCAGTGGAAAGTTACCTCCAACTTCATTTATTTAGGAAAAACAAAATAAAAATTAACCAGCTCCAGCAGTTTTAGCCGTTGTAGGTAATAAATTCACAATAAACGAGAAAACATTCCCACATGGCGAGACGCGCGGAAGAGCACAGCGGCCGCGCACGCCTGGCCCACCGCTGCCCGCGGACACCGCGCTCCCGAACGCCGCCCTGGCGGCGCCAGCAGTATCTCAGCGCTGCCGGCAGGGCCCGCATGTCGCGACATCCCCCCCCCCCCCCGCTGTCGCGACCACGCGGGACGCGGTCACCGGGCCAGCCCCGGCGGTTGCGTCATTTCTGGGAAAGGCCGCAGCACAGCCCCGCGCCGCGCGCCCAGATCCCTCCGCGGCCTTGACCGCACGCGCGCGCCAACGGGGAAAGCCCGCCCCCCCGCGGCAGCCGCGGCCCCTGATTGGTTCGCTGGATTTGAGTGGCAGCTGCGCCTGAGAGGCCGTGCCCGCCATGTTGTGGGGGGGCAGGCGGCAGCCCCGCCTTGCCCGTGTCCGACAGACAGGTCCCTCGGGAGCAGTCGCAGAGTCCCAGAGGTTGGAAAAATCCTCCAGCATCGAGTCCAAGCTGTGACGGATCCCCACGTTGGCACCAGCCCAGAGCACTGAGTGCCACCTCCAGCCTTTTCTGGGACACCTCCAGGGATGGGCCCTCCAAACCTCCCTGGGCAGCCCCTGCCAAAGTTTAACCCTTTCCATGAAGAAATTCTTCCTGATATCCATCCTGAGCCTGCCTTGGCCCAGCCTGAGGCCATTCCATCTCTTCCTGTCCCTCTTCCCTGGGGTAAGATCCCAAATCCCCCCGGCTGTCCCCTCCTGACAGGAGCTGTGCAGAGCCACAAGGTCCCCCCGATCCCCCTTTTCTCCAGGCTGATTCCCATCCCAGCTCCCTCAGCCCCTCCTGGGGCTCCAAACCCTTCCCCATCTCCCCCAGGACCCAGGATCAGCCGTGAGGGGGAGGCCGAGGTGCTCGTGGTCTTCTCATCCTCCTCACAGGGTGTGGAGCAGCGCCTTGTTTTGCGTCATGGTTATAGTCATTAATAAACCTCCCCAGTTTTTCAAACACATCTTTTAGAAAGGTCTCCACAGTCTCTCTTCACCCTTCTTTTTCTGTTGTTATGTTTTGAGGCTTCAGAATCTGTAACGATCACCAAAATAGTAGTTTTTTAATGGAAATAAAGCATTTAATTGGGAGCTATTTTATGTGCAGGTTCATGGCTCAGCAGGGATCTTAGCTATTTGGAAAGGACATTATTTATTATTCACTTATTTGGAATAGTTCACCCTATTTTCCTGGCCCTTTGACAACCTCCCCTCTTATAGCCATGTGCTGTACAATCCCTGAGATTTTAAAAACAATTTTACACGGAATAAAAAAAATCTCACCACCCACCTGGAACAGACTTTGGAGCTGTGATAACAGAGCCAAAAAAAGTCCTATGAACCCAAATGCTGGTGCAAAACACCTCTGCAATGGCAAAAGCAATTTACAGCCCACAGAATGCACTGGAGGTTAAAGAAACAGTAATAAAAGGAGAGCTGGGAACATTGAGTGTGACCCTCGGGTTACCCTGGAGTGAAATCTTGGGTTAGGTGGTATTTGCAGAAGGCAAACTGCACTTTCCATTCCCTGCCGGGTGCCAGAGGGGCTGGAAAGGAGCAAAAACGAGTCATGGAGGCAGCAGGTGTCAGCACAGTGGAATTTGCCCTTTTTTTTTTTTTTTTCCATGTACACACCCATCATTTATTGCTTTTAACGCACTCCAGTTTTCCAGGTTACCCTTTGATATTTCAAAAAGCTGGAGAGATCTGTACTTGCTCTCCTTACGCAGCTCAACCCGCCTGACCGTTCCTACCGACCCTTGATGTTTTTATGTATTTTTGAACTCGATAAGGACGAGCAGTGCCTTGTCCCCTCGGCAGCAGCAGCAGTGCTTGGTTGCCAGGACACTGCTGGAAAATAGCATCAATCAATAATTGCTGCTTGAGTCATGATGAGGCATTAACGAGCCTGCTTCTCCTGGAGCCCTTTGGCCTGGAGCTCTGCAGGCCATGGAAACTCCTCTTCAAATCAGTTGTACACAAATGTAAACTGATTTTGCTCTTCCAGGTGTCTGATTGCAGTGAGAGATACCAAAGCTGAGCGATAAAAAAAGGGACAAAAGGAAACACCTCATGGAAAGCGAGTTTTGGATATCCCAAACTCTCTCTTCTGGTGGGCAGCGCCTAAATCCCCTCAGGATTTACACACTTGGCAGCTAATGTTTCCCAGAACAAAATACAAAACGTTTTTTAGAAAATTACTGAGAAAATTACACACAAATTACAGTGTGAAATTACCTTAACAGAAAAGAAAGGATTATTTTTGGAAAATAAGAATTTGTGATGACAGAAAATCTGATTTCCTTGAAGAATGACGGCTGTAAGAAAACAACGTGACAGGAATTTAGGCAGCAAAATATTTTGACATGAACTGATATCTAAAAGTTTCTGCTGTCATATCAAATAGACAAGACTAAGGCAATGCAGAATATGCTTAGATCAACTTATTGATCAATTAATTAAATTCTAATTTATCCAAAGTAAAATATCAGTTGAAAGGTCTTAGTTTCTTTTTTTTCCTCTATTGAGTAATTTAGGAGATTGACTTTAATTCTTCATGCTGAATATGATAAATTGACTGAGAATCTGGAATTCCCTTCCATCTCAGTCATAAAAATCTGCATTATCAGCTGGAACAGGACTTCTGATGGCAAGTACAGCCCCCGCATGTGTCAAGTACTGGGATTGCATTGATAGGAAAGTTTGGTGCCAAAAAAAACTTGGCAATGGGATTTATTCCAGCTGGATAAACAGTGTTTTGCTCTGCCAAAATATAACTTGAAGAGAAATTCGTTAGATACCTTTATGAAAGATTTATAGAGACTCCAATTTGGGGCTCTGAATGAACAGCTCAGAGGAGCAAGGAGCATTATTTGAAATCGTTCCCAGAGGGTGAGCTCTCTAAGCTCTTACTCACCGGTTTTGAAGGAGAAAAGAGGAACTGAGCGGTGGAGTCACGCCCTGCAGTGCGCACGGTGAATAACCGGCTGTGAAACCGGGGCGCTCGGGATGCGCTTGGCTCTAAATGTTTCTGTTTCAGCTTAACTGAGCCTTCACCCTCCATCCCTGCCCTGCTTTCAGCGGAATTCCTCTCGCTCATTTCTCATTTACTGCAGCGGGGGCACAGCCGCCGACTGGCATAGAGTATCACTAAACGATTTAAACATTGCTCACGTATGAAAGCAGGTTTGTTTCAATTGTTCTGTCATCTAGAACGTAAAATTCACTGTAGAACTGGAAAATTTCTGCTCTTAAAACCTCACGCTCAAGGCATGACATTTGTTACCTTTTGATTTCTCAGTAAATCTGCATTTTTGTGGGTGTTATACAGATTCTCCAGAAGATTTAGTGCCTAAATGAAGCCCATTTCTCTCAGTTCATGAGTTTATGGACTCAGGTTTCCCATCACAACACACACAAATTGCTTGAACTTCCACCAAAGGTATTGGGAAAACAAGGAAGTAAGGAATACTCACCATGTATTAAAATTAGTTTTTCCTATAGATTGATGTTCACCAGCTCACCTATCTGCAACAGCAGTATTAATAGAAACAAATATACAAATATAGCAGTTTGATGCATTTACAAATTGAACATCAGCCTTGAAGTCACTGAAGTTCAAACCTATTTTCCAGCACATTCAGACACTGGCATCCCAGTGCTTTTCCACACGTGGAATTTGATTTATTGGATCTTATCACGTCCCGCTGGGGCGTGGATCAGCAGCAATAAGGACTTTAGGGCTGGATCCTTGTGCTCCTCGGTGCAGAGGTTGGGTGTGGGCAGCCTGAGCCCTTCCACGGGGCGTGTCCGTGCATGGCCTGGCCACGAGCGGCTGGAATTGTGCGTGGGCAGCGCGGGGTGGAAGGAGAGCTCTGCGCTGCAGCGGGTGATTGCCCCACAGCGTGACAGCGACGTGGTGACATCTCTGCTGCCTCCCTGTGCCTCCCGGGGCAGGCGGTGTCTGCTGTGCCCGGGTGTGACTCAGCACTGCCCGTGGTGACACCCGAAACCGTGAAGGTGGGACAGGAACAAACAGGCTGCCTCATGTCCCACTGGGACGGCCGGTCCGGGGCTGTGACAAACCGTGCTGGCCACCTTGGGAACGGTGCTGGGCTGTGACAAACCCTCAAACCCTGCTGGCCACCTTGGGAACGGTGCTGGGCTGTGACAAACCGTGCTGGCCACCTTGGGAACGGTCCTGGGCTGTGACAAACCCTCAAACCCTGCCGGCCACCTTGGGAACGGTCCTGGGCTGTGACAAGCCGTGCCGGCCACCTTGGGAACGGTGCTGGGCTGTGACAAACCCTG